GACTGGCTTAGGAGGGTGGTTTAACTGTGTAGCCCTTGAGTAGACTTTGAACCATTGGAGGTGATGCTTGTCAAATCTTGAAGAATATGGGAGGGAAAATTTTGGGGTACAACAGATGGTGTATGATTATTGGCAATATTGTTGGAAATTTGATGACGACGTAACTCGTGTGCGTTGGTCGATCAAATAAATCGGGTGCAACACAGACATCTGAGGCGTAGTAACCGATTTGTACCAACTCATATATCTTTTATGTGTCACATTTTTTGGTTTGCTGGCGCGATAGATAATTCTATGACATATAGCTCACGCCTCTTCCACATTCGACACCATTCTGGAGCGTATTCTTTCCAATTGTTAAAATTCCATTGAGTGTCGACTCTAATGAGATGTCATGGTGACAAACACGTTGGGGGCTGGGATTTCTTGATGTATGCCGAACTGCATTTCAACATGGTCCATGTGGTGCATCTCACAATGTTGAACCGAATGACGCAGTTTTTGCAGTCCAAATTGCTGCATTCTCGAGGTTGGGTAGATGGTCCAGACCCATATACGGTCTTCAAATAAACTGCAGAGAAAATATTATTATAACAATGATAACTTTAAAAATTAATTACTTAAAAGATGAATAGTTTAGTGGTAATACATCATCTGGTCCAATGTGATCCAAAAGATTGCGATACAGACTGACATTTCGTCTAGGATTTTTGTTGTAATTCATCCCTTTTACATAAAACCTAAAGCAAAGAGAGATTAAAAAATTATTTACATCTATTTAGCATAAAGTGAAAAAATTGAAATAGTGTTATAGACTTACTTTGTCTCATATGGGAGCATGAATGTGTTGTTGATGGGGGAAAGGATCTCCATTCTCCACCAACCCCATGCTTGGATCTAGAAAGCGCATGCATAAAATGTACAAGTTTCTATTTTGGCATTTTTAGACAGTGGACTATATAGATTAGTTAAAACAGAGGAATCCCAACTATACCCTCTTATTTTATCAATGTCCCTAAATAGACTTAAATACATAAAATTTACACTATTACTCGTACTTTCGAGAAATTACAGGCTACCCAATAGTATCATAATATAACATCTAGTTTTAAGTAATTTAGCAGCCTCAAACTAATTTTCATCTAACCGAAGAGAGCTAAAATACTCTTTAAGGTCCTTTAGGTTAATACCTTGTCCCCTCGACTTACTTCCATTTATCATATATTTTCCCAAAGCTTCCTCACATAGGAAATTGACTTGTTGAACTGATTTATTAACTGCCTTATCCTCAATTGGAAGATCCAACAACATGTACATGTCCTCTAGTGTGACGGTATATTCACCATTGAAAGATGAAAATTTTGTGTTTTGGGTCTCCACCTTTCTATCAATGTGAGTATAAATTTCATATAAATGGTGCAGTTCAATATATTAATAACATGTCTAAAACCCGCACGTTCTAGATATGGCACAAACCACGGGTCAGGAAAGGTATATAAGTGAATAAATAAAGTGGGTATGAATAAATAAAAAATCATATATAAATGCATTTATTAAAACTTACAAAGGCGAAAATGTTCTCAATTGTTCCTCTATGTTATCACCAATGGTTAAGAGAGACATAATTGAGAAAGTGTATTAGAGAGTGTATCAGAGAGTGTGTATTAGAGAGTGTGAGTATTGGTGATGAAAAAAAACTAATTGAAGTTCTTATTTATAGTCAAATCGGTTGAGGCTTAAATTAATGAGGTGGCTGATGGTTGTTGTGCATGGCTGACACGTTAAGACCTAGAAGCCAAATCAAATAGCGCATACATTTAAATTTGAATGAAGGCGCCATTCAAGGTGGCGTGGAGCAGGCTAGGTGGAAACTTATGGTGCAGGCTAGGTGGCAGAGCATAGGCGTGAAAGGGCATATGTCTTGTCTAGTATCAAGGCGCCATTTCAAATGGCGTGTAAGGCCATTTTTGAAAGCATGCGCCATCTCATTTGACTTCTATATATCCAGGTATTTTTTTATGCTTTCAATCTGATTATTTAAACCCGATCGATTTTGATGAATCCCATAGCTCAAAACTCACACGACAAAATAAACACAAAATGGGCTCTGCCCCCACAATATGTTATCAATGCCCTCGTCAATGGTGAGACGTACCATTGTGATGTATCCGGATTTTCGTTTTGAAACACCGATAATACACGCTTTTTTTTAAATAGAAAAGCTAATTTCTCCTATTTCAAAAATAGACTAGAGGTCAAATTTGAACGAGGTCCAGTGTCACAGATCTTCTACCAACATCCTATTTTTTTGGCACGAACCAAATGAAATTTTATCAGGTAAAGGTTCAAGATGATGAAGATCTTCAAAATATGTTTTTGTAATCATGAATCTTACCACCAATCTGACACAAGATCATCGTAAACTAAGCTACGATCTTATAAGTCAAGAAATATTACCTCTCGTAAGCAATGATCTGTCATTGAAGGTAAGTACCATAATCTCACATCACTACGGTATACATTTATACTCTCTCGTACATAAAGTTGTGGTTAGCAAAGACCAAGACGATTGCAAAAGTATACAAAATTTGGGAAAATTCATACAAAGAACTTTCGCGCTACTTGGATACACTTCACACATATGCTCCTAGAATTGTTTCTATTATGGATACATTACCGGCGTATACCCCATATGATACTTGTGTCAACGAAAATGGAATATTCCATCGACTGTTCTGGGTGTTTCAACCTTGCATCAAAGGCTTTGCATTCTACAAACATGTTATTCAAATAAATGGAACATGGTTGTATGAGAAATATAAAGGAACGTTACTGATGGCAGTCGCACATAATTTCCTTCGCTCTAGTCGAAGGAGAGATTAGTGGTGGTTAAAATTTCTTTCTCAAGAATCTCCAAACACATATTGCTCTGCAGCCTAGTTTATGTTTGATTTCCGACAGACATGCTTCTATTGAGAGTGCATACAACAATTATGCTAATGGTTAGAACGACACCTCTTCTACGTGTGTCTACTGTATTATATATATTGTACAAAATTTCATGCGGGAGATCAAAGACAGGATTCTTTAAAAAACTCTTGTGAATGCGGGATATGCATTAACTCAACCATCATTCCAACACTATCCCAGCAAGATCAGATTGTCAAATCTGGATGCAGGGAGGTGGGTTGATAATCTTCCAGTGAAGAAATGGATGAGGTCATATGACAATGGACAACGATGATGCCACATGACAATAAATCTTGTGGAATCAATGAATAGTGTCTTCAAAGACATACGAAACCTTCACGTAACCGTTTTGAAGAAATCAACATATTTTAGGATGACTTCGTTGTTCACAAAAAGAGGTGAAAGTGGAGTACATTCTTACAATCAAGACAATTGTGGAGTGAAAGCTACATGAAATTTATGAAGAAAAAAAGTGTCAAAGTCAACACCCATCATGTTACAAGATTTAACTGTCATGACCACACATTCATTGTCAAAGAGACGATTGGTGACAACGAGGGATTGCCAAGATAAGAATATAGGATTCTACTACCATCTTGTTGGTGCGGTTGCGAAAAGTTTCAAGTCTTTCGTATGTCTTGCTCCCATGTCATTGCGACACATTTGTATGCTCATCGAGATGTATTATCACTTCTATCTTCCGCTTACAAGGCCAAGATCTTGCTCAAGGTATACAATAATGGTTTTCCAATAGTAACAAAAGAGGATTATTGGCATGCGTATGAAGGGGAATAGTTTGGCACAACGACCAAATGCAAAAGAAGAAAAATATCGCCCCGAAAATAAGTGTATTACAACTGAAATGGATACAATTGACAAGCTATAAAGAAAATGTGATATATGCCATCAAGTCAGACACACACGAAAACATTGTCCCACTTGTGCTACAAGTTTGACAACATAAAAATTATATGCACACTTTGTAGTTTATTTTCAGAGATGAACTGAACTTTTTTACATTAAGCATGTTGGTTACAACAAACCGAACGCATACAACGAAGAGAATTAGTTAACACGCCAAAATATCTAAGAAATTACTATTGTCAAAGCAATTTCATTTGATCCATACATCAGCACTATTAACCCCTGTCATTTTTGACATCCAACCAACGTTGAGGTTTTCCGATCGCAAGTGAAGTGGACGTTCTTTGTCTCTGAATTCTTCTAATAACTTTACCATCTTAGATGTCCCCGTCTAATCATCAAATAAACTCTCAAGACACTTCATAGAATGGATGTTCCAAAATTTTATTTTAATCGGGAGTTTGATAACCGAGAAACAAACATACTCATCTCTTTTGAAAGTCATGTTAAACGTCATAATGAAAAAATTATAGAGAAAATGAGATGGGTAAAGAATGGTGGAAGAATTGAATATTATTTATAAAAAAAATCATACATACACTCTTGCACCATATGAGATGGCTTAGTTATTCTCCGTAACATGGAAAGAGATAGTACATGGGTGAATGAAATACAAAGCCAAAGAGAGAGTACATAGGTGAATAAAATACAAAGATATTTAAAACTTATTAGACTTGCTCAATCGATGACATGGATTCAGCTTGTATTAGTTTACTACGAAGTTGTCAAAACTGCCTGCCCTATCTTTTAGGGTTGGACTTGGGAGTGACATGTTTCAATGCTGGTAGCGTTTGAGTGTGCAATGCTAAAAAAATTATCTGGCTTTTGTCAATTGGTGTTAACTATATGCAAATTCTAAGTTACTAAACCAAGAGATGAAGAACACTAGATGTCCAAATAAAACGAGTGGTAGATAATATTCACAATTTGTACAATACCATAAAAGAAAGAAATATGTACAAAGAAAAGGAAGGAATTGAAAGAGAACTGTACAAATAGTTAACTGATTCAAAACTCATAATGAGCATTTAAACTGAATATTGTTTATATACAATTGAATTCTTCCATCATGTCTAATCTGCTACTACCATGATGAAGAAGCAGGATCAGGAAGTTGGAGAGGATGAACGAATAGCGGTGTCGGGTAACATGGCTACCGTCACAACAAAATATTCACATCCAACAGGTAAACCATATGGATTTGGAGTTGAACCTGAATTCAAGGTCAACCAGTCAGTAGTCCCTTTGTCAGAGGTTGTTGCCCTACCGTGCTCCGGCGATGCCTTCACAATTTGGTGTTCAATATGCACAATCTGTCCGACGATGTAGTTAGGTCTGCTTGGAAGATGGTCTGTAAATAGTGCCACGGATTCGGCAGATAAGTAGTAGTAGTTAGATTTGTTCTTCGTAATTGCCTCGTAATGTCCGGATTGAGTCAGCACAAAGGCAGCAATCTCGTGAACTTCCAGACAACCAAAAGAAATCTTCTCTTTATTTGCCTGTAATGTAACAAAATCATAAGCAGAGTTAACATGTCAGTCCGTGTACCTAGTAACAAAATCACTCATGCTATCAAGGGTCTGTTTGGATAAACAACTTAAAATTAAGCACTTATAGCATAAGCAATTTTCAAATAAGTTGTTTTCATAAAATATCTCGGAGAGCTTACGGACATATGTTCTATAACCATAACAAACATAAGGATAGCAAATTACCTGCTTCTCAATTTGATGCTTATTGTAGTAAGTTTTGACCTGCTCTATTTTCTCCTCCAATTCTTTACGGAGCTGTTCGTTAGATGCATCCAATCTGGTGTACTTATCATGCAATTCTTCACGATGCCTAGATAAGAAACCAACTTTATCGGCCAATACTCGTATACATTTTCGGAACTCGACAATATCATCATCGTCTCTGTCAGTAGCAGAACTGAAAATAGAGAAATCTTGTCATAATTCATAAATACATGATATAACTGGAAAGAACATCAGTCTAATACAACAGCCGAGAATCTATTTTTTTATTTTATAATAACAACGAGGAGCTATTTTAACTGAAAATAAGGATATCTCGTCTCAATCACAAATAATTTGTATCAGTGGAAAGCATGTCAGTCAAATACAATAGCAAGGAATTTTGTAGGCATCATTTAGACGATAAAACCCCTTCCTTGAAAGACAAAAAAGGATACAAAAGGTGGCAAGAACACTCAATTGTATGAATTCTTGGACTGATAAAGAAATTGCAAAATCAATGCACTTATTGAGGACCTCATAAGGATCATAATTAATGTGATATATTATTAGAATATTCATGGAACTAGAATGAATATCTAAACTACAAAAACGTGTGTGACTTACTCCAGATTATGAGTGAGCAAGTTATTTTCATCGCTACTACACTACCAAACAGGACTTTTCCCTTTCTAAGGAGGAATGGATGCAATGCAACAACTGGAAGGGGGAGCATATAATATTTTTTAAGAAAAAATAGATTCTGCTTGATATAGGTTAATGTAAGTAAATTACTTGGCCAAAGATTGTGCTAAGTTGCGCAGTGAATCTGCAAAATCAGCAACACCGGCAGGGGAATAAACACAGGTCTTGAGTCTTTCAAAAAAGCTGCGCATCTTAATAACAGATGCACGCAATAAACTATATTCCGAGGCCCTTCTGTCAGCAGAACTTTTTTGTGTTTGAGCTTCCTCTCTTGCCTCGTGCAAACAATTCTCCAAGTGAGCACAATTCATCTATATGAAAAAGAGAAAAATACATAAGAAAAGGAAAGCACATAAATGAACAGTTTTTCAGATGAATTACAAGTGGAATGCTAGTTCATGTAATAACAGAGAGAACCATTACAGAGATTGGAAAATGACAATAAAACAGCAAACAGTGAGAAAAGAATGAATCGTTTAGGGGAAATTTTTATAGAAAATCAAATCGCCACTCTAAAATGATACATACCTGAGATTCATCAAGTAATTTTCGATTTGCTTCCAACTCCCTTTTGAGCACAGCAACCTCCTCCATAAAGGCTGTGAGCTTTGTATCGGTTTCATTCAATTGATTTGACTTATTTGCGAGTGCACTTTGTAGTTCCAACAACTTATCATCATTTACTTTGGCATCCAAGTCTGGACAAACTGTTGAGTCACAAGGTACAAGATCAAGCGAGACAGGCATGCTCTCGGCAGTCGAACTGTTTGTTAGCGACAAACCCAATTGTCCACCTATCTTATCTTTTTTATCTTTATCACCGCTTAGCACTTCTTCACGGTGAGGCTCCATCATAGATGAATCAAGGTGAGGGTTCTGCATACCAGATGAATCCCACATCTTTTCATCCAACCCATCTGAAGATTTACCAGCACGCTCTGTGAAAAAACTAAGTTTTGCATCAAAGGAATTTGAGATACATGAAACCTCATCCATGGGCTCACTAGTAGATGTGCAAGGCATGTTGGCTTCACCACTCACACATTCTGACTTGTAATTATCTGTCTTCCCAGTAAGAAGAGGAAAGTCGCCAGCATCGTTTACATTGGACATCTTCTGCCCCTGCACATACTGATCGGACAATTTCTGCTCCAATTCTTGAATACGTTTCTCATATGACTCACATTGCATCTGCTTCATCTTAAGCATGGACTGAACTTGTCTAATATACTCATCTTTCAAGTGCAAGGCTTCCGAAGTCTTCTCTGTGGCATTCTGCAGTATATTTCCCACCCTTTCTTCGTCCAATGACTCGTACTCGATCCGAGGGCATAGAGAGCACATTAAAGCTATTCTAGCAGCAAGGTCAGCTTTCAGTTTTGCATTTTCAACCTCCATCTTGCAGGTTCCAGCAATTTCTACCAAACCACTGTCATCAAGGAGGTCTTTCGAATCATATTTCTCCATTGAGTTAGATGATACATCTACAGCATCAGCTAATTGAGAGTTATCACTAACCGAACCATATGTACCTTTAAAGCTACCATGCTTCTCCATCTTAAAAGTTACTCCTGCTATATACTCAGGAGCATAATGATCCACGTCTGATATGTCAATATTAAGCAAACCATCATCAAACGGAGCTATGTTGACATCACATTGATTAGGAGAGTCAAACAACCCCATAGATGATAATACATCCCTAGGAATGCTTGAACCGTGAGCTCTCATAAAGTCGTCCCGTCTCGAGACCTCAAGCTCACGTTTCGTAGCAAGCCTTTCAGCCAGTTGGCCAGCCATGCCCATGTAAAGCTTCATAGAAGCCTTTCTTCTCACTATTTCTGCAAGGCAAGCTCGGTAGGAAGGACCAACACTATGGAACAGTTTTAAATCCCCAAATAAACTTTCCTGTCGAACCATCGCCTCTCTAAATACAGGGAACTGTAGCTTCTGATCTTTGATGAGGTAAGAAACATAAGCTACGCTTTGCATGTAATTGTGCACAAAAAGGTTCATTTCATTCTTCTTCTCCTTGCAAAAGTCAAGTAGCTTAGTAATAGCACGATCACAAGCTTGCATTTTAGGCAAGTGACTCTTGTCGTGAACATCATACATAGGACCCAGGGCAGAAACTGCATCGTGAGGACGAAGCGAGGAGGACAACTGGGGAGACAGACAATCATCCACAAGTTTCTTGACAGTGTTAACATCTTTGCTGCAGAAATCCCAACAGACACGTAAGTTATAGGCTGTGCTTATATTTTACTTAGTAACAATATCCAAAATACAAAAAGAATAACTGAAATGAAAAATGGCATATATGAACTGAATTATGCAATCAATATGAGTAAAAAAAAGTGAGATCGGGAATCAAATGTCGTTCCATATTATATTACTTCTCCTATGGTGTACTATTAAAAGTCACAAAATAGCCTCAACTGTAAAAGTTTTATAATTGTCATGCAGCGGATCAAGAACTGCGCAGAAATGGTTCAATGAAAAGATCGGATAGTGGCCACTAACACAGCATATGACAAGCTACGAGTTGGAATTTGAATATTAAATTCACAAAACAAGTAACAAAGCTACAAAACAGGATGCCACAATTTGAATACTAAATTCACAAAACAAGTAACGAAGTTACAAAACAGGATGCCATAACGAGGTCAAGATAGTACATTAACATGCTTCCTCAGCACTAATGAGAGAAAACTGAAAACGAAAAGAAAACTAACCTCAGAGATTGCATGATACTCTTTTGTTCATTTATAAATCTGTGATGCTCCTTAATTGCTTGATCCAAATTCTTGGCGGCCAAGAAAGGCCCAGAGGTCAGCAAGTCTTCAGTCCGGCGCTTCACTTCCCCAAAAGTCTGCTTAAATTGTGAAATTTTATTCTCGAACTGCTTGTGAGAGCTGGTGCAATTCTCCACTGACTTTCTCAGGGTTTCTTCTTTCACAAAATCCAGCAAGCATTTGTAATTAGCAGTTTGCAAAGACGGATGAAGTTTGATGGATCTTAGTTTATCAACATTCCTTCCAAAATTAGTCAAAAGATCAGAATGAATCCTGTGTTGTTGCATATAACGTTTCATGAAATCGCCATAGTTTTGGTTAATCACTCGATAATAATGTTCCAAATTACACCTTGCAACTTCCACAGCTCTTTCTTGAACCATCTGTTCTCTCAAAAGCCTCTCGCAATGCTCATATTTCATCGATGTACCACTATAAATCGCATGCCCCCTATGATAATGGTGCCTGAACTGCCTCTCATAAGAAGGTAAAGCCTTCAAAGCAGGATCTAAAGCATCATCAAGAGGGTGCGGATCATGAGAAGACGAAGGCGACGGAGGCTCCAAATTTCCAGGCACATCAACTTGCTCCAACGGAGGAGGAGGTGCATTGTTCAGAAGCCTAGCTTTATTGAAAATAAACACCTCTTTCTCATCAGACGGAAGCTTATAAGCAGACAAAGGCCGCTGCGGCTCAAGCTTCAAATCCAAACAAAGAACAAGCTGATCATTGAAACCAATCCCAGTAACCAACTCAATAGACCGCATAACACCTTCAACGAGCGCATTTTCATCACAATCCAACTCAAAGGAATGTCCATTCTCAGCAATATGAACCAATAGCTGCCTCCCATTGACCAAACTCCCAGAAATGCTGGAACTCATCTTATCAACACACCACCAAGTCCTTATATCACAACCACAATCACAATTCCTCCAGAAAAGGAAACCAATCAATCAAACAAGTCCTTATATCACAATCACAATCACAATTACAATTCCTCCAGAAAAGGAAACCAATCAATCAATCAAACACCAAATAAAGGGCTTTCGCAAATCAATCAAACGATCAGCTATAGGGTGAAACTGAAACACACACAATTTCACCACAAAGCCAATCTTTCTATCCAGCCAAACAAGGTTTTATATAATTAACCCTAAAAAAATAAAATAAAACATTTATCAATGAAGAAACCAACAAATTCTGAAATCAGAAGAGAGAGTCGAGCGAAACAAAGACAATCAAGAACAAAAAGCTTCTGAACAATCAATATGATAGAATCAAATGAAAGCTCGGGTTTTGAACATACCCATAAGAGAAATCCGTGTAAAAACACAAACTTTAACCTAAGATCCTATCAAAAACCCTAGTTAAAACCAAACCAAGTCAATAAAAAGACAAGTATGAAAGACACCTAAAATGGCCAAAAATAGAGTAAAATAAAAAAGCCCAGAAAGGAATAAACCCGACCCACGAAGATACAGCGAAATTGGGCGAGAATATTGGGAGTTTTTTTTATGGTTAGAGAAGAATACGTGTGTAGATGATGATGAGGACGATGAAATTCCAGAACATATCGGGTAAGAAAACACACAACAGAAGAATAAGGTTGTCACGAAACGATGATCTTTTTTAGGATTTTCACTCTATACGCTACCCTACCCTACTCATATTTTTTTTATAATAATAATTTTTTTGATTTCCCAAAATTTGATTTTGCTTGGAGATAGAAGCTTCTTGGGGAAGGAAGTAACCCTCTGAGAGTAGAAGCAACCTTTCTTCTTCCTCTATCTCTTTTCTTTCTCTCTCCTCACCGAACGTTTTGAATAGCAGACACCATATTCTAATTTATTTATTATTATTATTATTATATATCACGAATTCTAAAGTCTCATTTAATAATTTTTTATTTTATTTTATTTTACTTTTCACGGTTAAGGATCGCTTTTTTTTTTTTTTAAGCGAATAATATATTTTGATTTTTTTTTCACCAACTTTTAGTTAATTTTATTTTTGTAAGTTGCTTGAGTTTAAATCGTTTAGATTTTTTTTCAGAAACTTAAAATATACTTATATTTTGGTTTTTTATAATAAAAAATAGACAGATGTTTGAATATTTACCTGACGAACCATGAACCATGTAGGTCTAGAGTAGTTTTTTCGTTTTTGTATATTATTAATAACGGATTCGTGCATTCGCATAGATTGTGTAAAGTAAATATATTGTCATACTTTAAATTTGTCCTATCTTTTTTATTTTTTATCCGACTTAAGTTTTGTATTTCATTTGCATACATTCTACTAGTTCATTTGTATATCATCCATTTCATTGGATAAAGTACTTTGGTTCAAGGATCAGCATTTATGTAAAATTAGGATTTCACATAGTTCAAGTATTTCTTCATCAAATAAAGGCATATGCATCTGGTTCTTGAGAAGTGGAATGTAAGATTAGGGTTTTCATCTGGCTTATTTCAACAGAAAATCCAAAGATCGTGGGTTAGGGTTTCATTTCAAGATATCCTAAATAAGGGGTTTACTTAGTTGGAATCCATCAAGTGGGAAAGGGTTTGCATGTATCTTGAGTTTTTTTAAGGACTCATTCATCACCAGTTCAAGAATTCTTTTGCTTGGGTAACAAGGCAAGAATTATGGTGTAAATGAATTGTAAGAATAAGATTTGGTTCTACAATATCATCTCTGAGTTTTTATGATAACAAATGAGTATGTTTGTATGAAGAATTTTGATAATCTAATGTTTGTTATTGTTGAGTACTTAACAAACATGTTCTGCTTCTGATGGATGGCGCGACCAAGACATTATAAGAGAATTAGTTCCGCTTCTATGCTACACAAGTTATATTGAACAGTAGCAAGACACTTCAGAAGGCTTTGAAGTGTAGGCTTTGATGTTTGTCTAAAGAAACCAGTCAAAAGATCTGAAGACAAAAGTTTCTACTCAAGTCCAAATGTTAAAGACTCGAGCTTCTAAAGACAACATGTTCTAAGGAAACAATCAAAAGATCTGAAGACTCAAGTATCTACTAAAGTCCAGATGCTAAAGACTCAAGTTTCTAAAGACAATGTGTTTCAAAGAAACAAGTTAGAAGATCTGAAGACAAAGTTTCTACTAAAGTCCAGATGCTAAAAACTTAGTTTCTAAAAGACAATTTGTTCCAAAGAAACAAAGTTACAAGATCTGAAGACAACATTTCTATTGAAGTTCAGATGTTGAAGACTTGTGTTTCTAATACAAGGTTCTTAAAAGGGTTCTCAAGACCAAGGGATGAAGACTCTAAAGACGCAGTTTTTAAGACTCTGGAGACTTGAAGCTCTTCTGATCCAAGATTCTCTACAACGAGTTCTCAAGATCAAGTTTTAAGACTCTAAACACGCGACTCTTAAGACTCTGAAGACTTGAAGCCCTTCCGATCTAAGGTTTTCTAGAACGGGTTCTCACGACCAAGTGCTGAAGACTCTAAAGTTGCAGTTCTGAAGACTTGAAGTTTTGAAGACCTTATGTTATGTTCCCGCTTCTAAACTCATGCTCGCAGAAGCCTCTGAAGTGCAGAAAGAAAGAATATAACAGTAACATGGTATAATAGTATACAATACGAAAAAGCCTTATTCCACTACTTCTACACTAACTTGAATTGGGAAAGAGAAAAGGGCATAGCAGTATTATTTGTAACGAGTCTTTTTTGAATAGCCAACGACTCTATTTTGTTTGGCTATATAAGAAAAGAATCGTATGTTTAAAGTGGGTTGGTGTTCAATGTTAAAATGAAAGCTGACATTATTGGAACATAACTAAAAAGCTATCAACCACTATAACAACAACAAGAACAAAAATTATGCTGAACATGTTGAAGCTAACCAAATAAGATGAAAATGAAGAATTCTACAAGATGTCATTCAAATCATCAATCATATACATCTTGACAGAATTATGAAGAAGCAGGGAGTTGTTGCTCATAGCTTGCTCAACGATGAAGATGAAGACAAAAAGACTACAAGATGTTGCACTTAACTTAGATTATATTCATCTTTGTAGAAATATGTAAAAACACAATAGTTGTTGCTCAGATTGTGTTATTGCTTAAGATCTTCATGTAAATTATTTATACACAAGAATTGTTGCTCAAAATTGTGCCAAACAATATGTACTTAAATTAGGATTAATCAGCTTGATAAGAAGTACTCATGCAATCTCCAGAAAAACAATTTTGTTTAGAATTGGTTGGTTCCTCAAGTGATCGAGTGAAGATCATAAGACTTGAAAATACTTTGGCTACGGTCATCATAGATGAAATCCTTGTAGTAGATTATATTGGGTCAATGATAGTCATATCTCAAAGGGGACTAAGTGAAGGTCAGCCTTGTAGGATCGCTGATGGATATCATTGGAAGGAAATCCTGGTAGGAGATTCTGAGGGATCAAATTCTATTGGGTTAATGAATGTTATATCCAGTCTGAATCACTAAACGTGTCATTGGATGTTAGTCATTGGTGGTTGCCTGTGTGATTGTAATCAGATTGGTTATAGTGGATTAAGTCCTTGAGTTCAGGGCAAAATCACCTTGGTAGGGTAGATTGGATTAGCTTGAGGGTTTCTCAAGTGAACAAGGATATATCACGTGTTCTTTACTTTTGCTTATGCTTTAGAGTTTATGTTTTCTTAACTTAACTAGAAGCATTACTTATAAGTAACACTCAAAAGCATTGTTCTACAAATAATGCTTAGAAGCGGAAGTTATTCAATAAAGGAAAACCCAATTCAAACCCCCTTTCTTGCGTTTTCTTCACACCTTCAATTAGTATCAGAGCCTGATTCTGTTATTGATGGATATCAAACACCTAACAGTGTCAGATAAAGATCCAGATGTTGTGTGAAGAAATACTCTAAGGTGATAGTTATTCAATTTTCAACTACTGTCTAAAATAAGAAAATTGAAGAACAAGCTGTAAGTGCTTGTTGGCAGCAGTTTTGGTAAAACACTATTTTGGTAATGTTTTGCTTAATGTCTTGACATTTGAAGTAAAACATCTCAACTGATTTTGAATGACGTCAAAGCAAATGTCTTAATATTTGCCTTCTGATCTGAACGTGTTTTTAGATTTTTTTGTTTCCTGTTTTTAAGCGCCCCTTATTTGGGTTTTGTCGTTTATAACTTACGAAAAATATGGAGGAATATTTTTTGATTTATCTTACCTTTATGGATTATATATTGTCCTACTTTAATGGAGATATTTAAGGGATTCAATATATTGCAGTATTTGTTTTTCAGCCCAAGCCCATAAAGAAGTTATTGTGCCTTTATAAGGACTTGCAACCTTATTCGTACAACCGCAACAATTGAAGAAAAATATATTCTTTGTGTTTAAAAGTCTGAATCTTTTAATTGTAGTACACTCTAGTATTGTTTCAATACTTGAGTTGTAATTTGTTAGTTGAGTTGTAAATTATGGATCATTCATAAGATTTTAAGTATTGAATGATTGAAGTTTTTCAAACTTAATAATTCTGTTGTTTTTCACTATTAGTGATTGAAGGGATTTGAGGAGGGCCTTATATCTAGGTATGTCTTAGATATAAGTATAGCACGGGTAGTGATTAAGTGATTAGATCGTAAACTGGTTGTTTATTGAGGGTCTATGAATTGATAATATTTAGTGGACTTATCCCTGGCTTGGTAGCCCCCAGAGTAGGTGTTGTTGTACACCGAACTGAGTTAACAATCCCTTGTGTTTTTACTACTTTTATATTGTTGCATTTTATATTGTCCTCAGATATTTGTATCGTGGCATCTCTTTCGACATCACATATCTGATACCAGAATTTCAATTGGTATCAGAGCGGGCATCCTACTCTATATTTGGGTG